GATGCATGACAAAAAGTGAACTCCTTGAGATTATATAAATGATTCTTGTTATTAGGAGCTAAAGTCAAATTTTATTTCATTCTTACTAGTTCACCCTGGGGTACTTAATTGCTTCTTTATACAATCAAGTGATGCTATTATCTATTTCATTCTTACTAGTTCACCCTGGGGTACTTAATTGCTTCTTTATACAATCAAGTGATGCTATTATCTGCAATATTAGACATTAAAATAACTCTTCTTTATACAATCAAGTGATGCTATTATCTGCAATATTAGACATTAAAATAACTTACTTGTGCTTGTGCTTGTGCTTGTTGTCTGGATTGAAAAGAAACTTTGTACTTGGTTATTTTACATTCTACAAAATTAAAAGTAATTTAACATTTATTTTAAGTGAGTTAGAGGTGTTGCATGTAAACTTTTCCCTTACCCTTGCTTTGACTATTAGCGTATAAGATTGTCATTGGTAAGACGAAGAGCTATGTCTTGTTGGGAATGAGAACGACATTTGGAATATTCATGCATTCCCTCTTTCTGTGATGTAATGGTTACAATTAATTACAATGGGCATAATTATATTAGGAACTCTATCTATTCTTCTCTTATTTATATTGACACCTAAATCTTCCATTGTTCAGCATAAAATGTCATGCTTGTATAATGTTTCTAATCCTTGGATGGTGATATTGGAACATAAACTGCATATCCGAAAATATTTATGATGTATTTCATGTTTGACTTTTTTATACTTGATTTTGGTGATTATGTGTGATCTTATTAAAATGTGAATATTTCTAATTTCTCATGCACTAATCTTTCATCCCCATGATTAGTGCACTGAGATATATGATAGAAATTATTACTTGTCTTTGGCCTCGAACGTTCATTTTTACTGGACACCCTTGTGATTTTTGCACGATTATATCTCTTGATTCTTTAAGTATCTTTGTCAAGAAGGCAAACACTTTAAATTTTCTAAGACGTGAAAAATTAAATGCCTCAGTGAAAAAGTATTCACTTTTCTGGGCAATCCCTGAAGGATTGCTTTGATCTATGGAAGCCAATAATTTGAACGAAAAGTTCTTTCCCCATTCCACGCAAATAATATTGTACTCCTGCAGCAATACATGACCAAGAATTGCACTTAGCATTATGAATTGATATCTACATTAGTAGTCGCAGAGAAACACAACCAATTGATGATTAGAAATCAAAATGTCAGACTAGTTAGCTTACGAGTTGTGTTTGTATCACATGCTACAATTCAGAAAATTACTTATACGCGTGGACAAGGGGAAGGCTATGAACATAGTAGGAGATCTTATCCTGTAGCCATTTTTGGATTTTAAATCCTCGACTGAATACAATTCAACAAGTAACCTTGTACTCTTACAATAGTACAACTAAAAATTATATTAAGCATTATGAACTAATCCTTGCATTAGTAGTTGTTAAAAATACAACCAGCTGTTGTGAGGAACCATAATGCAAGTTTAATTGATTCAGTCATAGTGCCTGAAGCACATGCCATAATTCAAACTAATATTCATAAGCTTGGACGAGGGGAAGGTAATGGATCTTATCGAACTATTTGGTTTCTCTATATTTGGATTATATACATTTGTCAGATAATTTTAATTTATCTTGATTTTGCTTTAAACTCTTGTGAACCTATGTGGTTTTTATTCATATGTGTATATTTTAGAATTTGTCTGACCTAAAATACACCATGTTGCGATAAGTTTGAGATTTAGGGACCCAAATTCTTTTAAACTCTGGCATGAGCGATTGGGTCATCTTGGACAAAATATGATTCTTCGGATTTTCTTAAATTAAATGGGGCATTCAAACCAAATCCGACCAACTACATATCACAATTTCCCCCCTTTATCTAATACGTGGTGAAGAAGCAAAACATTTCCCATCTGTGTATTCTTTATTTGCAGTCTATGTTTCTATATCACCACCATAACGTGTCTCTATGGGACCTCGGTGAAGGTACATACATTATTTATGAAACTCCGTTAATAATTTAGTACCTATGGCCTATGTTAGGGGATCAATTTATAATTTGGTACGCTGACTGCATTTTTATTGAAGATCAATTCTCGACATTAGAGGGAGATTAGTGCCCAAAATACAAAATAATGTCAAGAAATTCTATTGGTGAAAAAGATATTCAATATTTATATCCACGTACTAGTCAAACTGAACCAGAAGTTCACATGATAATCTGCTAAGAAAAGAGTGACTAAGCCCCGTATTCATGTTGAGTATATCATTGATGATTTGGTATGCCAGAAGCATACTGTGCCAGAAGCATATGAAAAAGATAAAAGTCCGCGGCAAACTAAATTCTATATAGAAAGACAGTCACTCCCATAACCACCGGAAGAGGTTCATCCTGAAGATGGAATCTCTAGTAAATTGCACGTGCACTTGATAATCATAATATTGGAGATGCGGAATGGCCAAATCCAATTGTTAAGGGAAATGACGAGGATTTGGTTGACATAAAATAAGAATTAAAGTGACCACGAATTTGTGAAAAAGGAGAAATATATAATATAAATATAAAACTTGTCGACAACATAGTTGCCTCTATAGTTGCTCTTACTATCTTCGAAAATAATCTGGATCCAGAACCTAAGTTGGTAGTAGAGTGCTTGAAGCATTCGGACTAGGTGAGATGGAAAGTGGCAATTAAGGCTGAGTTGAACTCGCTAAAGTATTTTGAACCTGTAGTCGATATATCCCTGCAGGATATAAACGGGTCTTCGTAAGAAAAATAAATGAGAATTGTAAGGTGGTGAGATATAAAGCGAGATTCATAGCTCAATGGGTTCACGTAGAGACCCGACATCAATTTAGATGTAAAATATTCTTCTATTAGTGATTGTATTACGTTCCGCAAGTTAATACTTATGGCAGAAACTATGAATTTATATATGCAGTATATGTACGTCATGACCACATTTTTATATGAGTCATTAGACGCTAATATGTTTATATGAAAGTCCCTGATAGACATAAAATTCCTGAATTGAGAGAAAATGAGAATCGCAACATGTATAACATTAAATTATAAAGGTCGTTATACAACTTGAAACAGTCGGGTAGAATGTGGTATAACCGACTGAGTGAGTTCCTCTTGAAGAGGAGATATGCAAATAATGATATTTGTTATAACTGACTTGATCCTATTATGAGTTGCTGGGTTGCTGGGTAGCTGGGTTGCTGGGTTTTGTTGCTGGAGGGCTTATGTTTATATATTAAGTTTCAGTTGTTGGGTTGCTGGGTTGCTGGTTTTTTTGCTGGAGGGCTTATGTTTATGTATTCAGTTTCAGTTGCTGGGTTGCTAGGTTTTGTTACTGTATATGAGAGTATAAGCTTTTGATTTGGTCTGGGTTGCTGGGTTTTGTTACTGGAGGGCTTACGTTTCAGTTTCAGTTTCATTTTCATCTTATGTTTCAGTTTCAGTTTCAACTTTTGTACACAGTTTCATATACAGGTTTTGTTTACTTTTTTTGGTTAAAGGGGCCTGAAACAAATTTTTTGACTCTCATATACAGTTTGCTTGTTGACTTGTTCTAGATGGCTTGTGCTTTAAACTTGGTAGCTGGTGATTTTGTTGCTGGCACAAGTAAAAAATAAGGTTTCCTAGACGGAAAATTCCGTCTAGGATACCTAGAATTCCGTCTAGAATGCGTATTCTAGACGGAATTCCGTCTAGAATACGCGTCTAGTATGTTTCCGTCTAGGATGTAGTATTTTAGACGGAAATTCCGTCTAGAATACATTCTAGACGGAATATTCTAGACGGAATTCAAAACCATCTAGAATACATTCTAGACGGAATATTCTAGACGGAATTTCCGTCTAGAATATTTCATCCTAGACGGAAAAAATTTCCGTCTAGGATGAGTATTCTAGACGAAAATTCCGTCTAGAATACTCATTTTAGACGGAAATTGATGATTTTAATTTTTTTTATTTTTTTTAATTTTTAAATTATCCTAGACGGAATTTGAGCATCCTAGACGGAATTTCCGTCTAGGATGCTATGCTACAGTAGTTTTTTTTTTTTTGAATTCTACTTTGAGTGCATGTACACAATATTTAACAAAAAAAAATTAATATTCATATCCAACACAATCTAATTATATTCCAATATCAAATCCCATTATATTCAAATAATACATTCACCAAAATAGTAGAGAGATACATAAATTGTTTACAAACTTTTACATAAATTATTTACAATGGCTATGACACTGCAGAAGCTTCTTCAACTCCTTCCCTATACATTTACTCAAGCCCTCTTCTTCTCCTTCTTCACCTTCTTCCTCATCATCCTGAGTGTAACATAAGGACACAAGCAATGCATTAATATCAACGAAGTGAACAAAGAATGTAGAGTGTAAGATATAAGATGTGTATGACGAGCACTTTCAAAACTGTTTTGTATATTGTTATATGTTTGATTAAGTGTATGCACATATCAAAGAAGTGAACAAAGAATGTGTGGCCGTTGAAGTGTCGGACACAGGCTGCTTCATGATAGAAGTACCCATGTACATGTCCGATGCAAACATATGCAATGACCCAGTAAACTGCAAGAACCCACAAATTTCTAAGAACCCAATAAATAATGGAAAGCATTCATGCAAGGAACTACATGATTTAAAATGAAAGAACATTAATTGTTAACACAGGCTCTTGCAATAGATAGAAAATAACCAAATATGCACATGTATGGTATGCTATGTAACCTTTGTAATCTCAGAGGAATGACAAAATGCGCATTTCACAGCTACATCAGCATATGTAAGATATCAGTGATACCAAGTTGTTTGTCATTACAGTCACCTCCATGCTCTATGTTCAATTTCTGTCTCTTTACTTCTCTAATATTGTCTGCTTCAGTGTAACCAAAGGGTGGATATCTCCACCTTTTTAGTCAACAAAAGGAAGGAGATAAGAACAGATAAACCAGAATAAGTTACGTTCCAGTCCTTCCAATTTCTCTTTAGTACAATTATTGCCTGAAAAGGAACTTTTCTTTTAAATTGTCATAAAAGTATGATCCAAAGAACAGATAAACCAGAATGATGAAAACCCTATTATCAGAAACATGGAATTTACCTTCATGTAAATTTCTCTTCAAAGAAACACCATTTTGTAAATTCTCTTTGCTAGCAGCCTAGCACTCTGCCTTGAGAGAGGATTAGCTTTATATGGCAATTCAATGCCTGCGAATATGACAATAAATGCAAGCAAATTATCAAACAGATCTTCTTTTCATAAAAGAAAAAAAACTCAGTAGATCAAATAGATAACCTGAAGAAAAATTCGTGTTACGACATGTGTCAACTTGAGACCCTTGTCTGTTCTCATCAGCATTGTGATCTGAACTAAGGGAACCGTCATTAGTAAAAGTATTACTACAGTGAATTAAGGCCATTATAACACATATTAGCCAAAAGAGCAAAGCACATATGCAAATTGAAGGGTAATCACTATAACCTGCTATAGATTGACGGCCTTGCTCCCGAACACTAAAAAACATAGCATCAATTAGATTATATTATAATTACTAGCGCAGTGAAATCAAGTCCAACTTCTGACCACCTAATTGATTAGATTTAATTACATGAGTTGAAATAAACTCTGGTAATACCAAGCAGAAGTTGGGAACTTGAGATACTTAGGACGATTGCATCAGTTAGATTTAACAATGGTGCACAATGTAATCAAATTAGGCGATATTATTATACTAACAATTGTTTAAGAATAAGCTGAAATTTAACTAGTTGAAAGCTAATAAAATAAAATTAGATATTATTATACAAACATTTCTTGATAAATGCATTAAAAAATGATGCACGAGCTTTTACAAGATATTAATATTCAAGCATTTCCAGGTGCTTGTATGTAAATTATATATAACAGGTGAATTGGTTAGGGTAAATCTCCACTTCACATACTCAACGTGCATGTTAACAAGAATGATGAAAGTGTAACGCCCCTCCCCGGAATCCCGGAGTCGGTACGCTATTAGATCTGATGGACTAGCCTCACAAACCACCACATGTCTTTTCAGCACGTTTTATCCTCACTCACACGCTCCCTGGAAAACTTCCCAGAGGGTCACCCATCCTAGAATTTCTCCAGGCCAAGCACGCTTAACTTTGGAGTTTTTAAGAGTTGGGTTCCCGAAAAGAAGATGCATCTTGGTGGTATGAGTATTCCAATCAAATCTATCAATACTAATCACATCACCCTCTCAAGGGTTGGGGTATTACATACTCCCCCACTTAAACTCACAACGTCCTCGTTGTGCCAAATCATATCATCCAAGACCGTATCATCCGTGTGAGATTCTAGAGGTGGCTCCTACGGCCTCAAGAGGTGGCTCCCGCCCTCTCGACGTAGCACTTTGCGCCGCATAGCACTTAACTCTCACAATTCCGGTTGGTTTGGCTCTGATACCATTTGTAACGCCCCTCCCCGGAATCTCGGAGTCGGTACGCTATTAGATCTGATGGACTAGCCTCACAAACCACCACATGTCTTTTCAGCATGTTTTATCCTCACTCACACGATCCCTGAAAAACTTCCCAGAGGGTCACCCATCCTAGAATTTCTCCAGGCCAAGCACGCTTAACTTTGGAGTTTCTAAGAGTTGGGTTCCCGAAAAGAAGATGCATCTTGGTGGTATGAGTATTCTAATCAAATCTATCAATACTAATCACATCACTCTCTCAAGGGTTAGGGTATTACAGAAAGTCTAATTGAGACGGAAAATTACCAATCAGCATGATGACAAGCCTACAGGTTAAGCAATTCAAGGACCCCATTGGGTTGAGACTTTCAAACTACATCAAACTGAAGCATTGCATGTTTAGATTCATGAAACGAGCCGGTTCAATGATTTCAAAATAGACCTTTATGATGTAGCCATGGTCACAACCAATTGGGATGAAGTTACAGCATGGTCACTCAAGCATCAGTATCCAACTATTGTTGACATTCAAAATTAATAGTCCAAAATTTACACGCTACCATAGATTATAAAGAAAATAAGTCAAATCTCGAAGAACAATGCTAAAGCAATTCCGAAGAAAGATTATAAGTACATGTTTCTTTCAACTGCTGAGCACTCATCTTATCAAATAAAAGTACCCTCTCACAATACTTGTTATACAATGTGCTAAGTAGAGATCTCAAACATTGTGCTAAGAACAAAATAGTAGTGTATTAAAAGGTTTTTCAGTGGAATTGGCTTGCAATTTGTGTATTGACGATAAAACTTGTAAATCAAATCCCTGTATAATCAAGAAACCCTTCAGACCCCTGAACCCTGAGTCAGCCGACCGACTCACCTACAGCGTCCTGGGCTCCTGCGCCTCCCGTATCGCCTGCACGAGCGCCGCCGTGGCCATCGCCTCCACGCTCCGGTTCCTCAAGCAAGTCACCGACGAGCTCGAGCCAGATCAAGGGTCGAGCCAGATCAAGTGGTCCACCGACACCAAGGGCCCCGCCAGATCAAGAGCCGAGGAGCTCGAGCCCGTCGACGGCGAGGAATCGAGCAGCGCCCGCTCGAGCTCGGCGAGGTGGCCGGCGAAGGAGGGGGTGGGCTCCAGGGAGAAGGCGGTGATGATTTGGTGGGGTTGTAGGGGTCGTCGTCTCCGTCGCTCGAGCTTTGCGTTCGACAAAGAAGTGGTGTACCAGGCGAGGCTGTAGCCTGTGAAGAGGACGAGAGGGAGGAGCCAGAGGTTGAAGAAGAGGGAGAGGAGGAGGCCGAGGATGGTTCCGATGAAGTGGAGGGTTTTTGGGGGGTGGGGGAGGGGGGAATTTGGTATTTTTTTTTTAATATGAGCCAAAACATCCTAGACGGAAATTTCCATCTAGGATGTATTCTAGACGGAAATTTCCGTCTAGGATACCTGGTAATATTAAAAAAAATTAAAAATATAAAAACCGTCTAGGATACTATTCTAGACGGAATTTTCTGTCTAGAATATTTTATCCTAGACGGAATATTCTAGACGGAAATTTTCCGTCTAGTTTAATACAAACTAGACGGAAAATTTTCCGTCTAGAATATTCCGTCTAGGATACACGATTTTCTACTAGTGTGGAGGTCTGTTTTTTTGCCACTGGTGGTCTGGGTTGCTGGGTTTGTTGCTTTTGATTTGGCTACATTACCTCCTTATTCTTCTACATCATTATTCTAGAATGCCTTGTATGCTTGCTGGATGTGGTTGTGCTGGTGACGTTGACTGAGCTAACATGTATATGAGACTCCGCTTTGGGTTAGCTTATGTTTCAGTTTCAGTTTTCATCTTTTGTTGTGGGCTTGATTGAAGAGTAAATACAAGAGTATTTGTTTCAATGGTTGTTTTCAATGGCTACTTTGTATTCTTCTAAGTGGGCAATGATGATGGTCTTAGTTAAGAGAATGCAATCTACAATGTATTGCTATGTTTAGGTAGGGCAATCTAGGATGAGAATGCAACCGACATCGCGTTTACAATGTTAGGTAAGGCAATCCATTCATGTGATTGCAACCTACATTGCATCCATAACGTCGGTGAGGCAATCCATTCATTTGATTGCAACCTACATTGCAACACCATTGTTAGATGAGGCAATCCATGTATTCAATTTTAATACCTATATCTGAGCCCCTAACTTGGTCCTATTATGAGATTTCATGCTGCTGGTCTGGGTTGCTGGGTTTGTTGCTTTTGATTTGGCTACCTTACCTCTTTATTCCTCTACATCATTATTCTATGAGCCTTCGTATTCATAATCTTGTGGTTGTGGTTGCTGGTGGCTTTATTCTCCTACATCATTAAATCAGACTATATCGTATTCATAATCTTGTGGTTGTGGTTGCTGGTGGCTTTATTCTCCTACATCATTAAATCAGACTATATCGTGCTGGTGGTTGTGCTTTAAACTTGGTAGCTGGTGATTTTGTTGCTGGAGGTCTGTGTTTTTGCCGCTGGTGGTCTGGGTTGCTGGGTTGCTGGCTCTTTGTTGCTGGGTTGCTGGTGATTTTGTTGCTGGAGGTCTGTGTTGTTGCCGCTGGTGGTCTGGGTTGCTGGGTTGCTGGCTCTTTGTTGCTGGGTTGCTGGGATTGGTTGTTGGGTTGCTGGTGATTTTGTTGCTGGAGGTCTGTGTTTTTGCCGCTGGTGGTCTGGGGTGCTGGGTTGCTGGGTTTTGTTGCTGGATTGCTGGGTTTTGTTGCTGGGTTTGTATGCCTTGTATGCTTGCTGGACGTGGTTGTGCTGGTGACCTTGACTGAGCTAACAATGTATAGGAGAGCATGCTTTGGGAAAGCTTCAGTTTCGGTTTTAGTGTTAGTTTCAATTTCATCTTTTGTTGTGGGCTTGCTTGAAGAGTAAATACAAGAGTTGTTTTTTTTATTGGGGGTACGCTCACCAAAAATTCTTAAATTCACCAATCATTATTTTGGTGATCCTAAATTTTGTTTGCTACAATTTGGGATTTCAAATTCTAAAATTTGTAATGCTATAATTTAAGTTTGAAACAAACAAAACATTCTAAGTTTTGGTATTTCATATCCTAAAATTTTGTTAAAACAAACAACATTTTAGAGATCCCTAAGTTTTGGTATTTCATATCCTAAAATTTTGTTAAAACAAACAACATTTTAGAGATCCCAAAACCCACCCAAAAATTTATGGATTTCAAATTCTATGTTGGAATCCATATCTTGAAATTTTGGGATTTGAAATAAACACCCCCTAAGAAACTGGATATTATTTTAGGACTTCAATATTTTCATCCATAACTACATGAGATTTTCTTCATGAACGCGGAAAACAGAAATTATAGATTTGGTGAGTCACTGCAAGCAATAAATTCATCCATATCAAATAGCTAATTCCTATATTTGTAGCATTACTATAAATAATTTATTTAAATGGTAACGATTATCTAAAAGTTTAATAAACTTAATTACAATAGTTCAGTTATTTTTCTTAGCAAAACTATTATTTTAATGGAAATGCCATTTTATTCCGTCAAAGTCATGACGATAGGACGTAACATTTACATTCTATTTAAAGTAATGTTTTTTTGTTTATAGTCACATTTGTTTACTCAATTTTATCTTTAAACCCAAATATTATTACTTGTATCTTTAAATCCAACTCTATTTTTGTATTTATCTTTAAACCCTATCTCCAAAATACAATACTTAAAAACTTGTATTTATACAGAAACATGGCAAAGTTCCCAACATACCCCTTTCATTAGCCCATATAAACCTAATTCTCTCTCCTCATTTGCCCCTTTTTCAATTTCAGCCCTAATTGAAAAACGAAAATCACCCTTCTCGTGATCGTCCTCGCTGCCGTCGCCCGCCGCCATTTGCCGTCGCTTGTCGTCGTCTCTCGTTGCATGTCGCCGTCTCTCGTCGCTCGTTAGTCGTCTCCCATCGCCCGTCTCCCTTCGCCGTTGCCGTCGCCCGACTCTGTCGCTCGGAGCCCGTCGCCTTGGGCCTTGGCTGTTGTCTGTCACCCGCCACCGTCACAGTCTTTGGAGGTATGCTCTAAATGTAGTTTCAGATGCACATTAGGCACCACCAGCGACTCAGTCGAACTCCTTTGGTTAGCGACTTCGTCGAGCACCTGCAATGGCTGGCACAATATCTAACCGCCATCGAGCACCTTTCGTTGATGCCTCCTCTCCCCTAACCACTTGTAGGTCCTCTTCCTCAAAACCTAAACCCTAATTTGAATATTATCTGAAATGTTAGTGTATTTGTTAAAAATTTTTGGGCATTTTCTAATTAGGGTTATCTACACCCTCAAAAAGTCTCTGCTACTCGTGAAGCCTCCGGCGAGACTATCGATTGTTACTTGCCACCTCCAGCGAGGCTGCCTTCTTCTATCTCTAGCTTGTAAGTTCTTTTCAGATTTTCCTTGGGGAAATCATCGTTTGAGAATTGTGCTTATATGAATGATTTTTGGTATTTCTTTTAATTTTTCCTTTCATGTTTAGATATTATCATCTTTAAATTTTCTACTAAGGGGCTGTTTGGTTGGTTTCCTAAAAACCAAGAAAAGGAAATCGGTACAAGGAAATCAATAAAATAATATTTTTATCCATTTCCATCCCTAAAACTCACCAACAACATCCAATAAAATATTATTTTTATCCTCCAACTTATCTCATTTCATCTACTTTCTTACCTTTAGGGGCTGTTTGGTTCGTTTCCTTGATATAGAGAAATGCAATTCCATGTAAAGAAACACAAGTTTTGAGTTTTCCAAACTTTTTTAAGAAATAGATTGTTTTGCTTTGGTTCGCACATAAAAAATGGTGGAAAACCAATGTATTTATTTTTCTTGTGTTTGGTTCGCATAGAAAAAAAAGAAAAACTTTTGTAAACAAAGCAGAAAAGAAAAAAAATCTAACGTGGCAGAGTTTTCATCAATTTCACTTGGTTGGGGAAGGAAATCGGAGAGAGAAAAAAATCTTAGTTGGCGGCGATTTCAGCAGAGTTTTCCCTCTTTCATTCGAGCGAACCAAAGCGGCACAAAGAAATGGACAGAAACAAAAAAGCTGACGTGGAGGGCTAAAAATCTGGCGTGGAGGGGTTTTCTGAGTTTTCCACCCCTTATAATAGCGAACCAAACAGCCCCTTAAAAATAAACCAAACACAAGAAATGTGTCACATCATCCAACTCATCACATCTCATTTTATCTTATTTTTAAAAATCACACACATCATCCAATAATATTGTGACAACTCATCTCATCTCATTAAACATTCCTTTCTATCCATTTCCTCAAAAAAAAACAAGAAATTGATATCCAATAATATCCCTCCAACTCATCTCATCTCATCTATTTTCTTATTTTTAAAAACGAACCAAACACAAACAACCTCAAAACATAATCCAATAATATACCTCCAATTCATTTCCTTATTTTTTTAACCAACCAAACAACCTCAAAACAAGTTTTTTAAAAAATCACTCACATCATCCAATAATAAGGTGACAACTCATCTCATCTCATCTCCTATTCTATAATTTCCCTCTTTTTTAAGCCAACCAAACAACTTCAAAATAATTATAATAGGAAATTGGTTTCCTATTTTTTGATTTCCCAGATTTTTTTGCCAAACGAACAGCCCCTAAAAAGAAGCTCAGTCCAACGGGTGAAAAGAACCGTTGGGGTTGGTTTCAGCCGCCCAACGAATCAAATAGTTGAGACAAGTGGGTTTCGCGTACACGGACAGGGGAGAGGGAAATTTTCCCCCACTTATTTTGGCGAAAATTAAAAAAACCAACCAAACCCCCCAAATTAAAAAACCCACCCTCTCTCTCTCTCTCTCTCTCTTCAAAAAACCCCAATCCCGTGCTCCTTCTCCACTCTGAACTCGTCGCTGCCGTCAGAGGGCGCCGTCGAGCCCTGCAGTTTGCCGCCGACTCCCCCTCAAAAAACCCTAGTTCTTCCTCCCCAAATCGGACCTCGCCGCCTCCCTTGCTCCCCATTTTCGCCGGACGCCTGACTTGTAAGTTCTCTACCTCAAAACCCTAACCCTAATATATGACAAATTAAAAGGTATTTGTCATATATTATTCTGACTTTTCTTTATTGTTATTGAGATTTTAGTGGATTTTAGTTTGTTTTCTAATGGTATGTTTGTCATATATTATCTCTGTCTAGATCTGCTGGTCTTCACCTTAGGTTTTTATTGTTGTTAGAATTTTTGTCATATATTATTCTGATTTTAGTGGATTTTAATTTGTCATATATTACCAATTTGTATCGAGGGCTTCGGATCGTTGGAAAGATACGTTCTTTTCTCGATTCAGAGGTCAGTAAAGCTCCTGATGGAGAGTCGAGCGTCTCCCAAATCACGATGTCAAGAACTGAAGGAGAATTTGATGGCAATTTCTTTTGATTGGTCTAAGGATGATTTTGTTTGTTTGTATGTAGAGAATGATCCTTACTTTTAATCACTGTTAATTTGAGCTCCTAATCTGCTGCCTTATGTTGTTTAAGGGTTTTCTTTCTGTGAAGACAACTGTTTGCTGTTGATTTTGAGAAATAACCTGAGTTTAGAGAATAGGATAATATATTTTCTCCCATTTTTGATTAATTGCATTTTTTTAATGTCAATTCTGTTGATAGTTTAGGGACTTTTATCTGTGTATGTAGGGAATGATCCTTTTCGTTGATTACTCTGGATTTGAGCTCCAAACATGCAACCTTATGTTGTTTAAGGGTTTTCTTCGTGTTTAAGACAATGTTTTGTGATGGTAATTTTGAAAAATAATCTGAGTTTTAGAGGATATTGTTTTTATATGGATTTGGAATCTGGGTTGTTTACAGACGGAAGGATAGCTACAAACTAGATTGGTGCTACGGGCAAGAACAGACCACTGGTGATATTTTCTCCCGAGAGATTAAACCTCTCCTTGAGGGAATTCTCAAAGGAGGTAATGGTTGTTTGATTGCTTATGGTGCTCAAGGAAGTGGGAAGACACAATTAGTTCAGTTGACTTCAAGGTCCCTTATGGTTTTTTTAATCATACAGCTGTTTGTGCTATTATCATTGTTAAGAGAAAATTTCTACTGTTTTTTTACATGTGTGATCAACATGTCAAACTTTCTTAGATGTTCTTGAATGTTCATTTGCAAGTGGATTTAATAAATTTCACAATCTATAAAAGTTTTTTTATTGGAAACTGTTTGATTTGTTAGTCGGAGAATTCGCTAGTCAAAATCGGGATTTCACTAGAATGGAAAATGTAGGTGTATAGTTAACATGATATAGAGACTTACATTCATCTCACAGGCACATGCTCGTACAAAATGTCAGCCACCATGGATTATTTGAGATGACAGTCTACTATTCCGACTTATTTGTTATTGTTTATGTAGACGATAGTTTGTTTCAAAGGAAAAATATCACATCATTCACATGCTAATATCTTCTAATAACACCCCTCTCGGCACTATCTCAATGAAGTTATCACATGGTTATGATTCCATCGGGTATTTTTGTCTTCATGCCTCTTTTATTATATTTTCTTTTGTAGTGACACAGTTTATTTTGCATTGCATTCCCTATTCATAATATCTTTTTACTCGTATGAAAAATCTTCAGTTGCGGGTGTATTTGAGAAGTTACGCTCTTGAGCAAATGGTGCAAGCAACAAGCTCTACTGCTGGACTCAAAACCATCAAGAGAGTTGATCAGACTTTGCAGGATCTTGGAGAAGTTATTAAAAAAACAATTTAGTGCTTTTTACCTTTTTTCCGGTCTTTAGTAGTTTTTAGCTGAAATTGTCAGTCTTGTTGACTTTGAAATCTAAATTGTTTCTTCCAAAGATTCATTTTGACATATCACTATTCATTTCCTTTCTATGTCCATTTAAAGCCAAAGGTCCCGACAAAATCCGTTTGTGCAGAACATCTTGAATTACGTAAAGAAATTCTCACCCTGCTCAATTTACAGAACGACAAAATCCGTTTGTGCAGAACATCTTGAATTACGTAAAGAAATTCTCACCCTGCTCAATTTACAGAAACATGTTCGTATTCTGAAAATCTAATCTTGAATTACGTAAAGAAATTCTCACCCTGCTCAATTTACAGAAACATGTTCGTATTCTGAAAATCTATCCTATTATCTTGTATATGACATCTACCTTTTTGCTTTAAATCTATCTCATTTTTTAACCTATATATAATTTGCTGTTTGTTATGTTTGCTTTCTATATTCTTTAAAAGTTTTGCCACCTGTCCATGCGAGCAATTCTTTGATGGTTAAACCGTTAATATTTTGACTGGAAATATTAACTCCTTTATCCCAGGTTTGCAATGTCACCTGCACCTCAATAGTAAAAACAATCTGTACCAAATAATATGGTTAGCTTTTGGTTTTCACTTATTCACTATGTGGAGCTGTCTTGTCAGCTGAACTTAAAAGGACTTATTTTAACTTATAGCTTTTGGTTTGAAATATTAACTCCTTTAACTTATTTTAACTTAAAAGGACTTATTTTTAACTTAAAAGGACTTATTCACTATGTGGAGCTTTTGGTTTTCACTTACTTGCATTGAACTAAAGCTATGAAATCATTTTTATTTGCCATCTTCCCATGACCTCCATTTGTTCTATGACAGGTGCAAAATAGAGATGCTGAAGCTGCAAACCATGACAGTTCATATACAGAAGCATCAAGCACTCCTAAGGTAAATGTTTGCCACAGTTCTTTGTTCAGCAAATTTATATTGTAGTATAGTCTGAAAGCATCTAATCCATGATACTTCCTTCAGAAAAATGCATCACCTGGTGGGATGTGGAGTCTGAAAGCATCTAATCCATGATACTTCCTTCAGAAAAATGCATCACCTGGTGGGATGTGGCATATAGATTTCTATTTTATATTTTCTGTGATACTTCCTTCAGAAAAATGCATCACCTGGTGGGATGTGGCATATAGATTTCTATTTTATATTTTCTGAACGGCAGCGGAGCGACCTCCAAGTTCCAGAACGATGTCGCGCTCCTGCTCTACGGATTGTATCAGCAAGTAAGGGATCTCGATTGATCTGTTGATTTTTTTTTGTTGAATCTAGGGTTTGGATCCGAGGTTTGCTAGGGTTTTCTTTGGTTTGACCTGTGAATTGGAGTGGAATGATGTTTGATTTGTGTAATTGGGTTGAATTTGTGGTGGTGTTGATGGATTTTCTTTGTAGGCGACCGTGGGGCCTTGCAATACAGCGAAACCTTGGGCTTATTATCCAATGGAGCACGGCAAGTGGACTAGGTTGGTGATTTTCTTATGTTTAATGATAATATATTTGACAAATTATCTATTTTTTGTGATAATGTTTGAAAAAAAAATTATTTAAAAAATTTGAGATTTTACATGAAATGAGAATGTAGTTCATGTATCGCAACTAGCCTGCATCTTTTTGGAAACTTTGGGGGTTGCTTCTTATGAGAGAGAATGTAGTTCATGTATCGCAACTAGCCTGCATCTTTTTGGAAACTTTGGGGGTTGCTTCTTATGAGATCAAATTAAATGTCCAAGATTGTAGGTTTAAACATTTTCCAATTTAAATTATAGGACCTTTATTCAATTAGCTCTTTTAGCTGTTGTTTAATGGTTTAAGGACTTGGATTCTTTTGCCAGAAAGTGATTGGGTTCTTTTGCCATCTTTCTGTTGTTGGAAAGCATGATTACCTTCTAAAGAATGCATTGTGTTTTTGTTTCTATTAGGAGTGTGATTACACTTGAACATCATTGATTTATTTTTAAATTAGGTACTTGCCCCAATGGTTGTACTCGTTGGGGTTAATTAAGATTCCAAAACCGTTGGGGGTTAATTAAGGCCCCAACGGTTCCAAACGTTGTGAATTTTTTTTATTTTTTAAAATTAAAAATGAAATTTTCTTGCCCTAATAGTTATAACTGTTGGGGTAGTTTTTCAACTGTTGGGGTAGTTTTTCAACTGTTGGGACAAAGTCAACCCCAACGCGCTTTGCCACAACGGGTGTTTTAGCAGCTCCAACGGTTGTAAC